AGGAAGGAAGGAAGGAAGGAAGGAAGGAAGGAAGGAAGGAAGGAAGGAAGGAAGGAAGGAAGGAAGGAAGGAGTAGAAGAAGGAAGGAAGGCAGGCCGGCCAGCTGGCCGGCCAACCTACTAAAGCATTAGGAAGCAGATTTTTTCTGGATTCTGTCTGAGGAAAACAGGATTTTTTACAGTTACTGTACAGTATTGCAGTAATCATACTTGAAAAACTTTATTACTGTACTGTAGAGATACAGTTGGATATCTCACCGGCAACTTAAATGTAGAAACTTCCTGAAGAAGGGCAAACTCATACTGAAGGCAGATATCACTGAATACACCATTACTGCACATAAGGGCATTCAGCCAAATGTTTGCCTGTTTTAGATACTGTACAGTAATCTAGATCACTCTCAAAAGTCTCAAAAGGTTGAAATAAAATAAATAAAAAAATAAATAAAACGAACCTCCTAGAGCAACCACAGCCACTAAGACTGCATAGCAAGCCAAAACTGCCACCCTGTCTGAAGCGTATCAGCCAAGACAGGGTTTAGTAAGCAATATGCTACCGTACAGGCGCGTTGCATTTATTTTTCTAAAAAAATAGCCCTGGGTCTGGTCCTCTGTTGCTGTTGGAAAACACAAAAGAAGCCGATGGGAATGTGTTGAAGACTCCCAACATTCTTCTGCACCTCACTGTCATTCTTCCTTTTATTTTAAAGAGAAGTCAATGTACTTCCATACTAGAAAAGGAACTGAAAGAAAAGAAATGAAATAAAAATAGAATAAAATGCTTACCTTACAGCAGTGTGCACACACAGGCGCTTCGCCCGCGGGTCCTGCACACGAGCGAACACATGTGCGGCTGCCAAGTTCCCGGATGTTGCTCGCTCGTGACCGTGGGAAAGCGAAGGCCGTGGGCGCGCATCGCTTTAGGGGTGCCAAATGTCGGTCATGTGACCCTGGAGGCCACGCAGTGGCCAAAAACGCGGCCACTTCTGAAGTGGCCGAATGTTGGTCATGTGATCGCAGAAACCTCGCAGGGGTCGTAATTTCGAGGACCCGTCGTAAGTCTCCTTTTTTTCAGCACCGTCACAACTTCGAACGGTCGCTGAACAAGACAGGCTCTGTTGTGCGCAGGTCAATAGTGGAAACCATTGTGCTAATCCACCTGCACCTGCACTCTCCAGCTGAGGAGAACTTCCACTCCCACATGCCCCAGCCGGCAGGGAGTGTCCGGTAACAAATCACAGTGCATGTACAAAAGAGCAGGGACCTCAGCCGAAGCCGCAACAGAGGAACCAGCTGCGAGGCAGCGCACGGCAAATTGGAAGGCAAAAGCGCAGAACAAGCTACTAGCGCTCTGCGAGGTCAGGTCGGGGCGGCAGCAGCCGCGCATGCGCGCCCGGCAGCCGCGCGAGCCAGGAGGACCAGGGAGGGCGGAGGAGTCGGGGGGAGCGCGCGTGCGCAGAAGGAAGGGGCGAAGCGTCGCCCGCCGACGTTCGGTCGCGGCAGAGAGAAGATAGAGATACGAAACATATTCTATAGAGGTGACTTCCGGGTGAAGATGGAGGTCTGCAAAGAGTCCCTATTCAGGCCTTTCCATCGCGTCAGGTGGCGGCGCCCTCCAGCTGGGCTGGACTTGGCCTCCTTCACCCGGCTGCCTGGAACCGGTGAGCTGGAAGGAAAGACCCGCTTAGCTAGAACGGCGGGTTGCAGGTGGCCAGCATTGCTCTGTTAAGGTAAAGCCGGCCTTGCTGCTTCCGGACGAGTCTTCGCAGCAGGATGTGGGTTGCCTTTTCCAGCCCAGCCCACGCCCCGGGAATTTCCTGGTGGTCTCCCTTCCAAGATGCAACTAATCCTCTTTTTTTTTTTTTTGAGACCAGCCCGTGCTCAACCTAAACAAGCCGCCTTGTGGCTTTTTCCACCCCGCTTTGCAGAATGACGATCCGCCCGAGGAGGCTTACAGGCCATCCAATCATCCATAAGAAGCACGGCCTGTACAATCAAACATAGAGGATTTAGGAAAAAACAGCGCCCGCTCGCCTTCTCTCCAGGCCTGAGAACAGGACGGGACATACAGCTGCGTTCAGCTACAGTTTGTGGCTTCCTGGGGAATTGCATGAACGCGGCCTCAAAAGGTGTTTGAGCAAGAGCGAACCCGGCCTCTCTCTGTTTTTAGGTTTACGGTGTCCGGCTGCTCTCGCGAGAGGATGCGAGACTTCCGCCTGCGAGCCCGCGCATCGCTGAGCTCCGGAAGCGGAAGCCCAACTTGGAGGGCGGGCCCAAGTGCCTCAGGTACCGCCGGCGAAGAGAAAGAAGGAGGCGGCAGCCGCGACCCGCTTGGCAGGCAGGCAGGCGGGCTGGGGGTCGCAAGGCGAACTTGATATTAGGCTGCGTTTGCATAACATGCTAAGCCAAAACCAAACCAAATTACAGTTGGCTGTAATAGTGAATCCTATCATAGTGAGTAGTAAGCGGTGATTTGTGCTTAATGGTTTTTATGAAACCGATCAGTTATTATTTCATAATTTTATTAACCTGTAAACTGAGTTAAACAAAATCAGCTTTAGTGCAATTTGTGAAGGCAGTCTTAGTTTCTTTTTTAACAGGCTTCCAAATAAAAATGGTGTTAATCTGTAGAGTATTTGATTTGTAGACAAGATTACTGTATCGTGGTCTACATATTGCTGGATTTTGAGAAGAGATGTCATACAAAGCTCTCCAAAGATTTCAGAGTTTAATCTATTTGTCCTTCCTCTTCCTCCTCTTATTGATGTTTTCAGGTTTTAAGCACATTTGGTGGCAAGATGATAGATCCAATTGAAAGCAATTTGTTTGATCTTCCTGATTATGAACACACCCAGGATGAGACCTTTCAGCCTTTGCCACCTCCAGACTCTCCAGGGAGGGCAGCTGAAGATGCCTTAGTCAATGGAGGTAATTATTCTCTTGACAATTGAAACATTATGTATTTATTTGTGAATAAGCCTTACTATGTTTGTTGGGGTTTATTCCAAGGGATGCATGCATAAAAGTGGTCTTTGCTACTAGGGCCAATCATTTTAGGAAGATTTCATTTTATATATAATTATATGCACGCATACATACATATAGACCCATCACACTGCATGTGGCGGAGGCGTGGTAAAGGCTGCTCTAGTGTACGCATTTTCTACCTTACTGAAAAATGTCCCATGTGCATAATTAAAAATATTTTAAAACATAGATAAATGACTTTTGAGGTCGTCAGAGACTACACAGGAGTCATACTGTATTTCTTGCTGAAGTATTTTAATTTAAACTTTTTTTAAAAAGCCCAAAAATAAAAATACTAGTATATCATAACATATCTGTGATGCTGGGGTCAGTAGAATCAGTGGCATTTATAGCTTTGTTGTTTGGGTGCTCTTGAAGGACATAATTTTGCCAGGATTTCAGCCAGTGACTCCTTGGCATTTATATAAGCTCCTGCTTATATAGCATCAGCGATGCTATCTTGCCACCTTGTTCTCTGTTGGCATTTTTTTATTGCCTTTGACTTTTTTCCAAACAAAGGCTTTTCAGGTGACCCTTTTGTTACCATTATGTGTTCAAAATACTTAAACTTTACCTTCATTTTGCTTTTAACTAGCAGTGTGGTTGTACTTCATCTAGAATTGAATTATTTGTTTTCTGAGGGGTCCAAGGTATTCTAATGATTTTCTCCAGCACCACATTTCAAAGGCATCATTTTCTTTTTCATTTAGCTGCTTTTAAGGTCCAGCTTTCACAGCCATTTCTTATAACTGGGAAGACAATGGACTTAACAGGACTTACTCTTGTTGGGAATGTGATATCTCTTTACTTTATCATTTACTCAAGATGCCTCTATCTTTTGTGGCTATAGTAACCATCCCTGCACATTTTTAGCCTAGGGAGATAAAGTCACGTATTACTTCAACATCATCTCCGCCCATTTGCACTAAGTTGGCCCTGCCTGTTAACACAGCCTCAGTTATTTTAATATTGAGCAGTATGTTGATTTTGGTCTTCACTTCTTGCTTGTACATATGTTTTAGCTAGATATATTTCCTAATTTGAATGATTCGTGATTAAAATCCAATAGGTGTAATTTGTATTCCTGGTTTTAGAATTAATTCTATTTTATTTGCCAGATCCAGAGGGAAATCAGTTGCCACAAAGCAAGGATTTCTCTGTGTCCACGAGAAGAGCTGTTAAAAGAACAATACCTAAATTAGATGCTCAAAGGTATGTAGTTATTTTTTTTTACTCTGTATGTGTATATATCCTATATGTTATATCTTTTTTACACAGGCCTCAGCTTACTGCCTTGAAAATGGTTTTATGATGTCAAAATTCTGGAACCGAGGTGATTGGGTATTTTCTTCTCTGTTGACCTGCCTGGTACCCTTCCAAGGTTGTGAGAAGTGCCCCAGAGGAACACCTTCGTCACTGAGTATCAGGAGCCTCTCAGCCTTCTGTGATTCCCATTAGAGGCAGTGTTGCTCATTCCATGATATCGGGCTGTGTGGTTGCTGTGACTAGCTTGGTGAATTTTTCCTACATGCCTGTGATCTTAATATCTGGTTCAGATTATAATTTGTAAAAAAGAAGTCAGTGCTGCTTTCCAGTCTTGTGTAAAAGGTGTTGATTTGGGAATGGTCTGTTCCAAAACATTCTGTTTCCCTGTGAACCATGCTGGGCCTCCAGACTCTGTTGTTCTGGGAAGGTGGTTAAGTGGTTTGTGAAAGTAAATCCTCCAAAATTAAAACAGTTCAAAGCAATCCAGACAGAAGTCTCCGGCTGAAATTAGTCAAACTCCTTCCAGCTCAGAGGGCTTGTTTTCAGAAACCACTAGACTACTCCTCAAAACAACAGGGATTGGTAGTCTTAATAGATAAGTCTAAAGAGTTGTCATACTTGTCACTGTCATATAATTGTACCACGTCAATTGACCTAAGCAGAGCAGCAAAGCCTGTTGGTTGGACAAGGACTAAGACTCATAAACCGTTGGCTTTCTCTTTCAAGATCTTGGATGGAATACCTATTAATGACTTTTTCCAAGTAACTGGAGACACTTCTCATGTTTGCAGATTAATTTCAGAGCGAGGACTACCAGCTTTGCACAATTTGTTTGACAACGTAAAATTCAAAGGTAAAGGTCATGAGGTAAGAAATGGCTGAAAAAGATTTTGTGGATTTTTGTAGTCGTTGCATTCATATTATATCCTAAAGTATGTCGAGCTTGTAATGTTCAAATGTGAAGTTTGTCTTTGATAGACTGGCTGAAATTTTAGGGGCTTCAGAGCCAATGTGGCTAGCTTTATTGAAAGTTGTTATGCTTATACAGAATTATTTTATGTAATTTTTGTTTGACGTTGAGGTAAACAGTTGATGCTCCACCTCCAGGCACAATAATGTTAGGATTTTCTCATGGGAAAGGATGCAGCTCGTTATCTTCACCGA